CTTCAAGGGACAGATGTTTGGGCTAGAGCTGATGAAGTCTGCCGCGAGCAGGCGGATTTGTCACGAAGCGGCAACGCGGACGGCTTGTCCGCCGACAACTCCGTTAATGGCGGTGCTATCCCGAATGGAAACTTTGACGACATGCTTTCCACTGACCCAAGTGTAGCGCCGTTCAACGCGCTACACGTTGATCAGCCGGCATATAACAGTATTTATGAGGACCCGTCGGACGACACCCAAGAGAAGGTTTTATTTGTGTTGAACAATATCACAGAGAGAAATCTTGAGACAAAATTCAAAGAGCTTAAAGATGTCATCGAGGAGAGGCATCAGCAATGGTTCGCAGGACATCTCGTCGAAGAGCGCGCAAAGATGCAGCCAAACTACCACCAGCTCTACCTTGACCTCGTACGCCTGTTCGGAAACAAGGCACTTTGGTCGGAAGTCTTACGCGAGACCTATGTTAGTGTGATCCGAATGCTTAATGCGGAGGCCACTATGCAGTCGTCTACGGAGCGCGCTCACCTGAAGAACTTGGGTGGATGGCTGGGATCCTTGACCCTAGCACGGGATAAGCCGATAAAGCACAAGAATATTGCGTTCAAGCAGCTGCTCCTCGAAGCTTTCGATACTCAACGCTTAATCGTTGTTATTCCCTTTGTATGCAAGGTATTGCTGCAAGGTGCATCGTCGACGATCTTCCAACCTCCCAACCCTTGGCTGATGGACATCATACATCTGCTCATTGAACTCTACCAACACGCAGAGCTCAAACTGAACCTCAAATTCGAGATTGAAGTTTTATGCAAAGGCCTGAACCTTGACCATAAGAGCATAGAGCCTTCAACGGACATTCAGACACGCCTGCCAGCTATTGATGAGCCAACCGAGCCGATCTCGCTTGATGTTGTCGACAGATTTGATAGCCTTTCTATGAATGGTATCGCACCTGGCGTTGGCACTGGCCGATTCTCGCCCCAGGATATAACTTCGTCAATTCCAGACCTGGGCCCTCTTCTGGTGTACCCCCCAGCAAATGATCTGGTTAACCAGGCCCGCCTGCAAGATATTGTCCGAACAGCGATTACGCGTGCTGTGCACGAGATCATATCACCCGTTGTTGAGCGTTCAGTCACAATCGCAGCGATCTCAACTGCCCAAATGATCCACAAGGATTTTGCTATCGAGGGCGATGAGAATAGATTACGACATGCTGCTATTGCTATGGTCAAGAAAACTGCTGGCAGCCTTGCCCTGGTTACTTCGAAGGAACCTCTCCGAGCTAGCATGAATAACTATATTCGCGAAGCGTCTATGAGCATGAACCAGGGCTTAGCAGAAGGGACCATTATCATGTGCGTCAACTCTAACCTTGATATGGCCTGCAAGCAAGTTGAGAACAAGGCTGAGGAGCGTGCCGTTCCGGAGATCGAGGATATGATCGAGTCAGAAATCGAGGCGCGCCGCAGATGGCGAGCTGCAAGACCTACCGAGCCATACGTTGACCCTACTCTGAGCCGCTGGGCAATGACCATTCCAAACCCGTATAAGCTACTACCTGGCACTCCAGGAGGTCTCAACTCGGAACAGATGGCTATATACGACGAGTTCGCCAGACAGCCTCGTATTGCTTCTCTCGGCATTTCAGCTCATGCTACGTCGGCATCGGACGCCAGCCGCTCCATAGCAAATGACGTCCTCCAGGACCAATATCCATCTGTGGGGAACTTGCCAACGCCGGCAGAACCCCCAGTAATGCCGCTTCTCAACAGTCAGCCGCATACATATGGGCAACCGGCCGCCTCGTTGACTAACGGACGATCCCCAGCCCCTCCTGTCGACCACAGAAATCTTGCGGACCGAATCCAAGAGCTTCTCGATGAACTGTTGAGGGCAGCAAGCAACTCTCCGGAGCAGCACTACTCCGAATTGCCTCGTCCTCACACTATTGTTGATATTGTTGATGCGCTCGGCCAAATTATCATTAGGAACACTCAAGTGTCTGATGAGGCCTCGAGGTTCACTGCAGACCATATTCTGCAGTTGCTTTTCAGTCCAGCTACTGAGGGTGACCTTGCTATTGAGAGCTTGGTGCATATTCTAGATATGCTTTGCCAGCTGCACGGTGGCACAGCTCGCCATGTTGTGATGTTTATTGCCCAGCAGCCCGATGAACGCTTGTTGAGCGTGCCACTTGTCCTGTCCTTGATCAATACGGACATCTCTCTTCTCGACTGGCAACGCGTTGACATCGCTGCCTCCAAAGCTTTGCAACAGCGCAAAGTGTCTGCAATTGATTTCTTGTCGGCGCTCACAAGCCGAGTGCTTCTGGTTGATAGACCTGTCGCATTATTCACGGACTTTGCGAGAAGCTTTGAAGCTCTTGCTCAGTGGCTGGGCGAGGAGCCCGATTTGGAAGCTGGCAAGCAGCTTATCCAGAAGCTAAAGTCATCCGGCCTAATGCAGACTTTAACCAGCGATAGCGACAACAAATTCCAGGCCCACAAGGACCAGATGGGCTACGTCTTCGAAGAATGGGTCAACCTGAGCAACAGCGCCGGCGCCACTGACAGCACCACCAATAACTTTATTGAGCAACTCCACAACAAACAGATTGTTACCGATCAGGAGAATACCTGTCTATTCTTACGTATTTGCATTGATGCGTCTGTCGATCGCTTCGACCACCACTTTCAGAACAACGGCTTAGCCAATGACGCCTACCTCCCAATTGATGCTTTGGCTAAGTTGGTTGTACGCCTGGTGAAGCGATCTGGCGAACGACCTGGCGAAGTCCAACGTGATAAGGTGGCTTATTTCGAGGCCATCTTGTCTCTCATACTTCTTGTTTTGAACCATCATCACGTCATGCGTGGCGAAGGTTTCAACCAAAAGGTTTTCTTTAGGTTGTTCTCGACAATGTTGCACGAATTCAATGTTGTTGCGCCACAATTCTCAGAAGCCGAGAGAAATCAATTCTATCAAGTATTTGCAGATGCATTCTTGAAGTTGCAGCCGTCGCGCTATCCTGGATTTGTTTTCGCATGGGTGGGACTTATCTCTCACAGAGACTTTATGCCTCACATGTTTCAATTGCAGCAGCAGAGTGGCTGGGAACCACTCGTGCAGCTACTGGAGTGCCTAATGCTATACTTGGGAGAACTTCTTAAGCAGCTCCATATTTCGCCAGTGACGAAAGACATCTACCATGGAGCAATCAAGGTTCTTGTGGTCCTCCACCATGATTACCCGGAGTTCTTGTCGGGCAACCATGTTCGCCTCTGTGCTGCTATTCCTCCGCACTGCATTCAGCTGCACAATATGATTTTGACGTCGGGTCCATCGGCATTCTCCAAAATGCCTGATCCTCTGCAGGCTGGCCTCAAGATTGACCGCGTTGAGGACATTCGCGAGCCTCCGTCCGTTGCATTTAATACTGAGGCGCCCTTGAAAGAAGCCGGGCTCTTGGATCTTGTTGACCAGGCGTTACAAAGTGGACCATCTGAAGATGCTGTCGCTCACATTGCACATGCAATTCAGCGCCAGAAGAGCCACCACACATCAGCGGGATACCTACCAATTCATGTTGACTTGGAGCTTATCGACGCAATCGTACTGCACATCGGCATGCATGCAATCGAAAATGCTTCTCAGAAAGGCGGGCCAATCTTCATCCAAGGGTCCCCTGATTCAGCTCTTTTGACTATGCTTATCCACGAGCTGAGCTCAGAGGCTCGCTACTACTTCGTGAACAGCATGGCCAACCACCTGCGGTTCCCCAATGCCCACACTCTTTATTTCAGCCAGGCCTTACTTGATGTATTTGGCAATGACATGAATGACCAGGAAGAGTCGGATATCCGTCAACAAATAACTCGGGTTTTACTGGAGAGACTCATTGGACCTTGGCCACAACCGTGGGGCCTGCTCATCACAATCTTCGAGCTCATCAAGAACGAGAAATACATGTTCTTCGACCTCCCCTTTATCAAATCCGCACCAGAGGTAATTCACATCATGCGTTCCCTTGACACAGAGTAATAACTGACCTCTCCCAGGTCGCCGAACGATTCGCCGCGTTGACCCAACGTAATCCTTGAAGCGCTCCCTTACGCTCTCTTCTGATTCACCAGACTATTGTTGACTCGAGCATACTCTGGGAACAAAGGATACGATTTCCACAAAGCTGTGATTTTTCAATTGTTTACATAAAAACTTTTACCATCCATTGGCGGCGCATGACATGACGATTTGGAGAGTCTCTGGTTCCCTGCATAGCGAGCGTCGGGTTTTAAACGGTGGATAATGCATCTCTCAAAACGATAATGGACGCCTTTTGCCCCGCACTAATGTCGAGCGGGAACAACAAAGCGTATGGGGTTTCGGGAGGGGATGCATGTTTCTTTTACGAGGCTTTTGCTTTGCTGTTGCCGGCGGGGCTAGGCAGCGCGGAATGGGGATGAGGGAAGGGATAGAACCCATGGATGTCACACATATGGCGTTGGGACTGGGGCTCTTTTGCTGCGCTTTTTATTTATTTATATGAGGGGGTCTAATGGGAGTTTGGGATTGGTGGGTGGGTGTAACCGTTTATGTAAAATATAATGGAGTTTTTTGCCGATTGAATACGTTGTTTTCCTCGCAATGGTGTGAATTGTCAAGTGATATCTAGATCTATTTGCTGTATGTAGTAGTTAGAAGGGTAGACTGCCAGGACAGCTTCATATCTATGGCTGGTCTTCGAAAAACACATTCACAGATGCCAATGTAACCAGCGGGTTTAAATACAAATCTATTCGGAGACCCATCTCCCTCATCGCCGGGTATAATACAAAATGCTACCTACATTGCTTGCGAGCACCATCTCCCCATCTCATCTGTGTTTCTAAGCGACCCCCCTCCTTCCCACCCAAACCAATAGATACTTGCTCTGAAGCTAAAACAGCAATAGCATTCCCCCCAACGGTCAAAACCTCGCCGCCCTCCCCCACCCCACCCCGGCCCTCTCATGAAAACCATTCAGGCCAAACCACACTCCCATATAGATAGATACCCAACAACGCCAGTGTCGATGCAATAAGGAGATAGGGGATATATGCATTTATCCTCAAAGCGGCCCATCTACAGCTCCTCCTCCTCCATCTCGGCCTTGGGGAAATTAACTGTAGGCACTTGTGGCGGAGGGACAGTGTTTGAATGGGCTGCCTCGGCAAGACTGAGGATGTTTCCGGATGGGAGCGGGATGCCCGCGGAGTTCAGGAGGGTCTTGGCCTCCTCGGGCGTGGCGCTGAAGGTTGTAGCGCGCTGCTTCTTGAGGGGGCTGCCGATGACGGAGTCGTCGGGGAGAGCGGTCTTGCCGAACATGTTGTTAGTGATGTCCATGGCGGGGGTTGCGGTGGGCGCTTCGGTGGTGGCTGGGGGAGTCACTGTTCCGGAGGGTGTGCCGGCGGATACAGGGGACTGGCGAGCACCGCCTAGAGGGTCGGCGGAGTGTTGGCGTTTCAGCTGAGGGTGTGTTAGTTGGTGGATTTAAGGAGGAAGAGGGTGCTCAATGCATACCTTAATTCTGCCGACGCCTTCAGCTAATTCTCCAGAGTACTTTGCGTCCTCGGGGCTGAGCATGGCCTTGACATCTTTATCATCGGCCTCCTCCATTTTACCAACAATGTCTATATCATCATCGTCATCGTCGCTGTCTTCAAGTATGCTGCCGTTGCTTGCTTTTCTAGCTTTAGCCTTCCGCGCTGAGTCCTCATTGTCTCTGAAGGCGGAAAAGCCAACCGTGCCGCCTGGTTTCAAGGGGCCGAGATTTGAGAAGTCCATTTGTGTAGATCCACGCTTGGCGGCTGCTGGAGTTGTCTTCGCTTGCTTCGAAGAGTCGAGGATGCCCATCTTCTGCAGTTGGCCTGTATTCAGTTAGCTTTGAGTCTCAGAAATTTAGGTGCCTTTGGTACTTACGTTCGCCCCTGTAGAAAAATGTGAAGACAGCATATGGCTTGTCGGGTCCATCAATGCCAGTGACTGTTTGTGTGCTGATAGATTTCGGATCCAGAGTTTTGGGCTTAGCAAAGCTTGTCGTGTGATCGATATCGGCTTCGGACGATCCTCCATTTGCATCTTTGTTGCCGCCCTCAGAGCCTTCATCGTCGTCATGCGCGTCGAATTGTGGAGAGTATTCACCCCTCTTGATTTCTCCTGATGCTAGCACTCTGAACATAGCAACTTTGATCTGACCAGCCGCTTCGGGGGGCGCATCATCATCAGAGCTCCAGTCAGAGATAGCATCATCATCAGATAGCTTCTCAACTGGTGCTCCCTCACTGTCTCCGTAGCGTAACACATCATCTCCCATCTTCTTTGTTGGCGACATGTCAATGTCGCCGTTCCCAGTCCGCCGACGACTGCGCCTCTTCTCAAACTTCTGCCGGCGTCGTTCGAGCTTCGCGGCAGCATCCTTGCCACCATCGAGATCCAGTCCATTAAGCCAGCGCTCTAGGCCCACCTCGCGGAATAGAAACTCTCGCTCAGCAAGGCCCCCGCCTTCGGAGTCTGGGACTTGCACCCATCTCGAGTTTACCCATGTCTCCTCTCCAGGGCGCAACAATGTAGCCACCTCCTCCTTTGGGCGCCCATCGAAATAAATATATGCAGCTATAGTTTCGTTTTCAGAGTTTGTAATCGGTATATAGGGTCCAATCACGCCATGTGGTCCTTTGTCGGCAGATTTATTGGAGGGGTCGGAGACAATCTGGGCACGCGGGTAAGGTTTGTCGGCAGTGGCCTTTGGAGTCGAGTAAGGAACAGCTATGCCGGAAGTGAGGAGAGTGATCGAGATAGCAAACCGGGAAGGTTCCGGCTTATTGGAGAGGGAATCCTTGGGGACATGAGCTTGCGGGACCGGGATGTAGGTGTTGACGCGGGACACGCGCGACTGCTTCTGAACCGAGTACTCTGGAAGTGGCGCCCCTTCAGCGTGGACGGACACTGCTATTCCTTTGAAACAAGGCATTTGGCTGTTGGCTGAGCCAGCTGCAGCGCGACAAGAGATACAGGCTTTACGGGCTTTGAGGACGATTTGGTGAAGTGGCGGGCTCAGGTGAGGAGGGGGGGAATGATGATTGGGCGAGGTTGGAGGTTGGAGGTCGAGCTTGCTGGAGTGGGGACGCGAGGTCCGTGAAGCGTTGAAAGAACAGAAGCAATATATCAATCCTTAGTAGGGTTGCCTCAGCTCCTTGTGAAAGAGAAATAAGCTCTGTGGGTAAAGCAGCTGAGATGCAGAAGTTACAAAGTTGGTGAAGCGAGATGCGAAGGTGGTGCTGGTGCAGCCTGACCGCCGCATGTCTGACCAAACAGAGGTAGCGTGAGGGAGAGAGTGAGACGACACAACCCCACGAGACTGAGGACATTCGATTTCTTTATTCTAGGATGGGCTGTTCAACGTTTACTCGACGAGCTGGAGCTGGATGGTCAGACAATAAATAAATAATATCTTATTATGCTTATCTGAATCCGAATAAATATCCCAATATTACAGCTTGTATAGCATTATAGTCGTGCGGGGCAGTCGTTGACCTTGTTTATATCATGTAATGTACACACAATAGCCGCCCACTGTCTTCCAAGTACGGTAGCTCAACCCTTTTAGAACCATATAAGACACATTTATGGGAAACTAAAATGGCATTTAAATGTGCCCTAATTATTTCAACATTTCTCAAGACGATAATGGAGTCACAAAAGGTGCAGTTCTTTGTAAAATATATCATTTTAAGCCTTTTTATTATTATAAAGGGCCAAAATAGAGATCCTCGTCACACCATATATGGGTTTAGAATAGGACCAGGCTCATGTGGCTCTGGGAGGCGGTGAAGACACCAAACTCGAGGGAAAAGACCTGTGCGAACAGATTGTTAGCATTCTGTGCCAGTACAAATATGTTTGAATATGTGTAAATGTGCATATAGATCAGACTGTTGAGCTTGATAATTGATTGTCTCGACATGGAAGATTCCGCTGGCCGTTCTTAATGGAAGGTTTTATCATCATAATATGCTGGGTTGTGAAGGAAAAGCTGGAGAGAAACATACCATCTAGAGAAGATTAATTGAGCCTGAAATGTGTCTAGCACAAATCAAATTCAGGAAGCAACGAAGGACGAGAATTTGTAGAGAACGAAGATTGGGAAGGAGAGAAGATGAACGGTTGAAAGGCATAAGTAAATAATTTCCCGCTAGTCACTAGCGCCGTTGCTACCTGAGGCACAACAAGCTTGTTGTCTCATTTGTATATCGGACCCCTCCATGAACAGCACTCTGCCTTTCTGAGCAGAACCATAAACCTTTTTTACGCTTGATAAACCATCGCAACAGCGATACAGCATTCAAGATGGCTGGTGAGTGATTTCATTTACTCTTCTCTTATTGATGCCCTTGTCGGACCGCGAGCAGCGCAAACCTCTGCGTTGTCTGTTGTCCGTTGTCGCTGAAATAACCCCGCCAAAGAATATCCAAAGCTAACCACTTCATTATAGACTTTGCAGGAATCGCGAGTGAGTAATATACCAGTACGATATGGCCAAACTTGGCCATGCGAAGATACCTCTATTTATTTCGCGCAATCGACGCGCTGGTAGCCTTGTAGCGACGGGCCTTTGCTAAGTCTTGGGAACAGAGCAGTTTACGGATTTTTATTACAACCAGTTCGATGCCGATAGATCACAGCTGGCTCCTCTTTACGTGAGCACCCGTGCTTCAATACTATTCACTAGACAAAGGGACTGACAGGTGGTTCTCACACAGCGCGACAACTCCATGTTGACTTTCGAGTCCGCCGCTGTCGCTGGTGCCGGGCCTATTGTTGAGAAGCTTACGGTATGTGCTGCCTGTGATGCGCTTCCAGTGGCCTAATACTAATCATTACAATGCTCAGTCTCTCCCATTTGCTAAGGTCAAGCATCAAGTGTCGACTTTGGACGCGCAGCCAGTCGAGGGTGGTGGCATCATCATCTTGGTTACCGGTGCTCTCTTGGTTAGTTACCCCGCCTCCAACCGGATCGGAAACGTTATACCGTTACGACTGCGCCTCTTCGATAAGAGCTAATTCTGTTGTAGGTCGATGAGGAGCAGAGACCAATGAACTACAGCCAGTGTTTCCAGCTTCTGCCTGACGGAGCCGGAAGCTACTTCATCTTCAACGACATCTTCAAGCTCGTGTTCGGTTAGTGGCGCCAAAAGTGCTAGGCTGGTGGGAATATAGACAGCCAAGACCTGCCCTGTGGAGCGTAATGTGCTTTTGCTTGCATAGTGCAGCCAGACTTTGATGACGAATAAAAGAAGATATCCAATACGTACACAGAATTGTTTTGAATGTTATGATAGCTCTCACAAGCTGCTTCAAATAGAATATACAGCGAGACTGTGTAACCACTTCGACCTGATGACCTGAAGCGCTGTTGAACAGTGTCACAAAAGTCCCGCTTTAACCCAAAGTATATAGCTCCCGAACTCGTGATGTAAGTGGACAGGAAATGCGAGATCACTTGCTTCCAACAGACCTCTATATATACACCATTGAATACACGGAGGCCAAATTGTTGGTGCCTGTAACAGATAGACAGTAATGTAAAAGTAAATTTGAGGAAGTGATCACTGACGAGTGCATATTCCCGGTGCCTGCCGCATAAATCCGTGAAAGGCTTAGCGTGGGACCGTAAGCTACGCGGCATCTCTCAAAGCTGCGTAACAAAAGGACCCTCAGTCTGACCTTGAATAGGTAAACAGAATATTGAAACAACCAAAAGCTCTGTATTGCTCTATCTGCAGCTTCTACCAAGAACCTAAACAATAGTGAGTATTGACGAGACGGGCACAGAGAAAGCCATCAGCAACCTGGCGAGCCTCTGCTAACCCGCTGCTGCGACAGCCACCGATACCCAATAGCTTTCAAAGAAATCAGCAACGATGACGATCGCAGAGGAATTCGCCACGAGGAATTTCAGTGAGTACTGGACTGCATTTATAACGATAGTATGGTGATTAACGTTGCTCTATAGGTATATACGCGCAATGGTAAGAGACTCTCTTCTTGACACCTTGCAAGCTGGGCTAGTGCGTCCAGAGAAGCTCAACAAACAAACATGCTTCCGAAGAGCCAGCTCGCAGCAAGCAAGGGACCGGATATCGATCAGACTTGCTTTCCCATATTTTCCGGAGGGCCGACGTTTGGACATGGCTAACGGGTTATTGTTTTCTTCAGGACGGGTGTGGTTTGCATATTCCTCTGCTTTGCGCTTGGCATTGCAAACATGTTCCACCTCAGTTTGGTTATCCTATTCAGTGCGCTCTGCCTGTAAGTCATCGGCCCCAACCCCATGGCTCCCCAAAAACTCATCAGATTGCATAGGGTGTCATCATTCATCATCATCTTCATTGAGATCCCGCTCCTCCTGAGAGTCTGCCCTACCTCGTCGACATTCGATGAATTCATGCGGAGATTCTCGACGAACTACATGCGCGCTTTGATTTACTTCGTCATGGCTGCCATCCAATGGATCAGCATTGCAGTTGGCGTCACATCTCTCATTGCTGCCGCCGTGCTGTTGACAATTACGGCTGCGCTATATGCGGCGGCCGGCCTGAAGGGACAGGCTTTCACCGGTAGCAAGACCCTCGGTGGACAAGGCGTTGCGCAGATGATTGTGTAGGGAGGGGAGATGGAGACTTGAGACCCCGTGGTGACGCCTGGTTAGTGAGCGGGGGGCCTACAATGAAAGGGGACGAAAACTGGAATTGCTGGACATGGAACGACCGACTGATATGGTGTGCATTACCTGGGTATAGAAGGGCTATTCTCAGTTTGGAGCTTGGGCGTTCATGGATTTTTGGAGGCGTGTGTATTTGTATTCTCCTCGATCGAAGGAATTCGATGGCTGCCGTGCCTTGCGGCGGGTTATCCACGTTATAGCAAGCGCGTGTTTATGCTGGTGCATCAACTTTGCAGATGTATGTTGTGTATCAAAGTGAAAACTAGGAACTCAGCAACATCACAGCGACCTTCTTTTTAATATTGAGGAGCTTTTCGAACTCTTGCAATGCTCTCTATGTTCTTATCCAACGGTGATATCTAACTGGTAATGCACATATGTGGAGACAGACGGGCGCCAGCCGATCCTTAACGCCACACTTCCTCCTCGTGATTGCTTCAAGTATATGGGTGAAAGTGGCGATACCTCGCTCCCAAAGGTCAGCAGTCACCTCTGCACGTGTAGTCTGGTAACACAGAGAACATAGTTATATCCAAACTGCGCATTTACGAACGCATCGACGCTCCTCAAATCGAAATGTGACAAGTGTTGGATATTCTGAGATAGACCTCAAACGTACCCCTTGATGACAAGTCTGTTACAACTATCCAGGCGGTCTGAGAGTTTGGACGCATATCTACTTGCGATCGTCGGATTGGAGGTACTGGCCGTATTGGAATATGTGCATGAACTTGGTCGGCATCCCGTGGTCTGGCCATCGTCTTGGCCGTCTCTCCTCGAAATATAACATGTCTCCGATCGCCCAGCGCATCTCGATGGCGTTTTGCTAATGAGAGCCCGACAACTGTGCGTTAACGACTTGTTTCACCGCCAGTCGGATATCACATTTAGAAGCCTTATCTTTTATGTAGGTAAGTGATTGCGCTGTCTGCTTATCAGTGGAATTCGAAATATATCCCTCAAGGCGCTGTGATTCGAGAGGTTAGTTCTATTTTAGTGGTAGAGAGATGATAATGGCGCTCCGCTTTGGGAACAGCCTAGCTGGAGCCATGACGCGAGTCTGGCCCAAGCAAGTCCAAGGTCACATCTTGAACTCCATCAATCTCAACCCGCTCATGGGCATCCTCAATGCTACTATTTTGAAGTCCTCCATATCAATCAGACTGCTTCTGTCGTTCTCATCATTGTTTTCTTAAATGCACGGTGCCTTGCCTACCAATTTATTGCTGAGACTTACCATGCTGACTATGGAAACAGTCCCTTGACAATCCATAGAATCCCTTGACCAACAGCTACGCATCATACACTCGTACAATCATGGCAACCCAACAAATACCCCAAATCCCTCCCCGCCCGACGCGGGGCCAAGCCCAGAAGCCAGCTTCCTCGAACAGCGGCAGCACACTGGGCAGCGACATCCCCAAGATCCCACCTCGACCCAACCGCCGCGCTGATCGATCCGTATCGCCAATGCGAGACAGCTATGCACCCTCGCCCCTCAACGAGCCGGATTTTGTCGCCACCGGCAAAAATGCATCGTATCTGAGGGAGAATGGCCGTACGTCAGCGTCGGATGCGCCTTCGAGGCCGTCGAGCGTATCACATATGCCCTCAGTTGGACAAGAGGGCATGGAGTATGCGGATATCTGCACGCCAGATGCCGTAGATTCGCCCAGAGCGCCCAACGAAACCAGGAATATCGCGGAGGATTTGAAACTCTATGCTCCTAGGCCGTCGCTGCCTGGGTCCAGCGCAAAAGACCAGATCAACACTGTCACAAGGACCGACTCGTCGCAAGCTGCGGCATTTGGTCTCGGAAAGCCAAGGAGTGAAGAAAGAGTTTCTGTCGATGACAGGGACCTTGAGAAACATTCTTTGAGGGCGAAAGACAGCTTTGCTAGCTCAAGATCGGCTGGGCTGGAACGCCCAACTTCTTCGGCGGATAATGAAGACCAACCCGATGGCCCTGACGTAGGCCACAGAGTGCCTATGTACCCCAATGCTGGCATGGTGCAGGCTCCTTCTCCTTCGCCACAATCCCCGTACCAGCCAGGTATTGGATTCCACAATGACGGATCCAGGCCACGCCACCAACGTCAAAAGAGCGGCCGCGGCTTTGAGGGCCCGCCTGGTAGTTATGGGATGCATGGGCATGGGATTATGTCTAAGGATAAATTTGAACAGGCATACTATGAGAAACATCCTGAGCTGTGGAAGAAAGAGCTTAGTGCGTACGGCGAGGAGAGAAACAATTGGGCTATGAGCAGCGAGGATTTGAATAAAATTGTTAGGGATACCGGAAACAGAAGTTCAGGACTGGGTATGCTTCTTCATTATTTTTACCAAGATATCGGTAGCTAATACTCTACTAGACTCACCAGCTCTCATTGGTACCCCGACAGAGCAAATTGGCTACGTCGCCACAGACGAATATATCTCACGGATGGCTTCACCAAGGCTTTCAACTGATATGTCGCCGTTGAAAAAGGAGGGTTCGACTTCCGTCGATAAGGCTGAATCCGCTGAAAGCCTAGGACGTACAGCCCAAAAAGCCTCTGAGACGAGCCTTGCGAATGAAACCGATGGCGGCACCGTTGTGCACGTCGAAGAACCAAACCGTCGGATTAGCAGGATCTACGGAGGCGACAAGCATGCAGAGTCTACAGAGAATCTTGGACCTACAGGCGGCAACGCCCCTGGTGCTGGTGGTTTCATCACGGAGAGCGGTTACGGCGTCCCCATTTTGGCTTCAGACGAGGTGGCCAAAACACCACTCGGGTATGAGCTTCAGCCGGCTGTTTCACCATTACAAGACAACAACTACGATGATGAGCAGTCCTATTTCAGAAGCAGACAAGGCAGTGGCTTGTCTCCCAGTGGCAGTCGGCCGACAAGTCTCCATAGAAGCAGCCAGGACATTCCAAGCATATCTCGGCAAGGAGAATTTGAAAGTCCTCGCTCACCACCACTTGAGGATGTTCAGGAGTATGAACCATTGTTTCCCGAAGATGACAAGGGCAAACAACCACCCGCTAAGCCACTGACAGAGGCTGATAAGCTTAAATCTCGTTCGGAGCTTAAAGGACGCCGTTTCCCGTCTCAAGACGTCTGGGAAGATGCTCCGAACTCCCATATGCAAACCGCCACTGTTTCCACGCCGCAATTGCCAGAAGGGCCCGATGACGCTAAAACCACTGGAGAAACCCTAGAAGTTCGCAAGGGCGAGACACCCGAACAGGCATTTGCGCGTCGACAGGAGGAGTTGGCCGACATGGAATTCAGCAAGAAGGAGACTGAGAGCTTCTTGAAGAAGCAGTCCTGGGATCAGAATGCATCGATCGCCGCTGAGGGGTTGAAGCAGCAGCGATTCCCGAGTAGGGATATTTGGGAAGACTCGCCTGATTCGTTGCTACTTCAGACGACTGTGTCGGGGCCGCAGAGTGAGGATGTGTCTACGCCTGTAGACCGCCCTGCGGGTGATGCTGCTGCTAGCTTTGAAGAGAAGCAGGTACCTGCGACTACTAGCATTGCAGCGGCGCTGAAGCCATCTATACCGCCCCGCCCGATGAGGAAACTGTCTGATCAGAAGCCGGATTTGAAGGCAGAGACCGCCGCAACTGGTGCAGCAAAGTCCCCAAATACTTCCCCAGTTTTGAAGGCCAAACCTGCTATTCCCGAGCGCTCTAAACCGGTGATACCTAGTCGACCAGTCAAGAAAGCCTCTGGAGATTCCGGTGAAGGCGCGCCGCTCTCTACTGTAAGATCAGGGGGATCCGAAAAGTCGAGCAACTCCAGCAGCTCGCAGAACAGTGCGGCCGCAGCGTCGAAGCCGAAACCGCCCGTACCATCGCGGCCGATAGGAAGTAAGATCGCGGCGCTCCAGGGCGGGTTCATGTCGGATCTGAATAAGCGCCTGAAGCTCGGTCCGCAGGCGCCGAAGAAGGAAGAGCAGAAGGAGGAAGAGGTGGCGGAGGAGAAGGAGAAGGTGCCGCTTGCTGATGCGAGGAAGGGGAGGGCTAGGGGGCCGGCTAGGAGGGCCCCTGCTAAGGCTGTGGTGGCGAAGGTGGAGCCGATGCCGACGCCAGCGGGGAAGAAGTTTGCGGTCTCGGTGTCGTCGGTGTGGGAGATTAGTCCGGAGGATGGGGAATTGATCTCTATCTCTGAGAGAGAGGAAGCGAAGAGGGTTGAGGAAGCAAAGAAGGCCGAGGAAGCAAAGAAAGCTGAGGAGTTAAAGGAGGCCGAGGAAGCAAAGAAGGC